ATATATAAATACATTATAAATGAATAAACAAATGCTCCTAAGTAAACTCATCATTTATTTGGTTTGATGGGTATGAGGGCTTGTTTGTGTGTGTACTTGGGTTGGCTCGCTCAAGTTGGGCCTGTTAAGAGATCATTAAATGGGGCAGGCGGGCTGGGCTGGTGAGGGGCCGCACAAATTGCAACAATTTGGTAGCGCCTCGCTCCACATGCGCATCAATTGCAACAACTTTTATAAACTGTTTCAACTCAAATTATATTTACGAGAGACCGCAGAAAAATTGACAAGGCGCTGGCTGCTGGCTGCAACATTTACGAAATGTGCCAGACAGATATGCCAAGAAGCCAAGGCACAGCAACAAATTGTGGCACTGCATATGAGGGGTTGCTTCAAGCTGCCAGTGGCACAAAGCAGAGTTCCGAGCTCCGAGTCGCGAGCTGCTGCTGTGCGCTGTGCGCTGTGTACTGGTGCGATTGTGGCATGTGGCATGCGGCATGCAGCATGGGGCATCATTAAGCGCATAATTTTTGGTACTTAAAACTTCAGCAACGTTTCGCAGTAACAACAGCTGAAACAACAACAACAGCAACAGCAACAACAGCAGTAACGGCTGCAACAAAAAGGGCAACAAACGTTGCCGCTGAAAGAGACGTAATTTTTAATAGTTTTCGCAATTAAATCGTAAAATTTAACAACTTTGCGCAGTTCTTAACGAAATTGCATTGGGCGCAAGTCGCCAAAATCTGACACTGATGCATTTCCGGTTAGCTCTAGCCTAACTTTGCCAGCTCCGATTGCCCCTCTCTGTTACTCTCTCTCTCTCTCTCTCTCTCTCTCTCTCTCTCTCTCTCTCTCTCTCTCTCTCTCTCTATTTCGCTTTATCTGCCGCGTCGTCTGCGTTCAGCGCAATGAGAATATCGCAAAGTTTGCTTATTTTCTTTGGCTGTGCTCTATTTGGATATTAACTTTATGTTTTCCTTCATGCAGATCTTAAAATTAAATGCACTTATAAAGCACTTATATAGCTGGCGCAAAATAATATAGAGCAACTTTCATAATAATATTTAGTATAAATATAAAACTGATTGGTTCCATTCATTATAGTTTGTTTAATTTTGTAATACTTAGCAAATAAATTTAAAAATAAGATAAGAATGTATTTAAGTTTGTATTTCATTTCTGTTATTAATCAAATTTGTGTTAGCAAACAAAGTCAAGCAAAAGATTGTAAATCCTGCGACCACAAAGGCCTGTGCCAGGAAGAACCTTCGGCTCGCATTAAGCCATAATTTATATGCGCAATGCCAGAGCCAAGAGCCAAGAAGTAAGCGCAGCAGACATATAAACATACATACATACATACATACATCGATGCTCTTCTGTCCGGTTCAAAATTCAAATGGGCCAGCTGTGCACGGCTGTTGTTGTTGCTGCTGTTGCTGCTGGCTCGGCTGCTGCTGCGCTCTGCAGCAGGAAGGTGCAATTTATAGGAATTCCATCAATTCTGGAACCATGCTCTGCGCCGTTCCAATTTCAAATCGAAGGCATCCAACTGTGCTGTTTGACCCGCACCGTATGGCAATAGGAAGCAGGCAGCGGCATCACTGTTCGACAAGTCACCCGCACCAGCGCCCAGCCATGGCGACCGCCAGCCCCCAGACCTGACCTGGCCTGTCCTGGCCTGGTCTGGTCAAGACCGACCGCTCATCATAAATA